GCAGTGAGGGTTCACGTCACTCTGCCCTTGCAATCCAGGAGATGGCGACCTCGACTCCCACGGGGGTAGGGATGGAGTTCTCACGAATCTCTGCGTGTGTCTGATCCACAAACGGAGCTGGGTTGCAGGCCACGTGCAGCGTAGCGGCCAGGGCTCGATATTGAGGCCACGTGCGGAGCAGTGGAGAAAGAGAGAGATGCGTGGAGGTGGCGAGGGCCTGGGTCAGGCCTTCATCCAACAGTCGATCGACAAAAGGGCTGTGTATGGCAAAGTCGTAAATAACTGACACAGACAATCCGATGCCAAGTATCGTGACTGTGATCATCAACATCGATGTATCGATGCATCAATTATGTGCCTATTAATCAACGAGCATATTAGAAGGGTGGCCCATTCTCCGTTATATATATATGTATTTTAAGAATGTCATTCCTTGTAGCAATGAATGCCCCTCTCTAACCCACGACGCTATAGGCGTCTCACCGACCCACGCGGCCCTCCTGTTGAGCCATGTTCGTCGCGTAGGCAGTAAACGCGAAATGTTTTTAAAATTCTAAGAGCTAGAATTCTTAGCGCTGTGATTTAAGCAAATTAAGTTACGAAGATGTGGGGGGGGGGGGGTTTCCATGGAGTTAATTTAAGAACCCAGTTTAATCACGGGCGGCTGAAAAACAAAATCAAATCCATAACTTAACCCAACAGCTGCCGTTTGACTACCCACAAATATGTATGATGCTCTTCGGGCCCACAACCGTGGCAATCGCTGTGTCCCTCGAGTCAATAACATCTGGGCAGACACACTCTCTATTTACCTACCTATTCACCTCTATTTATGTTTCCAGGTAAGGCCCACTTAGCTAATATAGCTCTTTGTTGTTAGAAGCGACCTGGCCACAAATGTTAGTTCAACAATGTGGCTGATCATTGTGTGGAAACGGATATCAGCCAAATACTAAATGCGGAGGGACATAATCCGAGGACCCGGAGTCGAAATCCACGCATGCACGGGAAGAGAGACACGCAAACTCCAGGGTCGGGGATCGAGCCGACAACCTCCTGTAGACCAGACGAGGTTATTAAGATCTTCGCCTCCGTGACGCTCTCGCTCAGACACAGGAACTGCTTCAACGCGAAACGAACTCTCAAACACACGGTGCATTTTAATCAAAAACCCCGCACACTGGCAAAGGCATCTGCAACCGTTACAGCTGCAAGGGTGCACTCCTCGATCCGGCCAGCGTCTACCTAATCATCGACGTGCGATGCCCACGAGCGCTGTGCCCTGGCCGTCTTGTTCCCGTCCTTGACACCCGAGTGACCGCCGTGACACTCTGGTGGTTAACGCGTTGTAGCAACACAACATCGAAGCATGATTGTGATATACGAGCCCCGCTGTGCGTTCGCGGCGCACGCGTCCCTTGCAGCCCCTGGGCACTCGTGCAAACGAGACGTCCCATCTCAAGATATTTATCCAGGTGAAATAAATATATATTTTTTATCGTGAATAGATAAGCAACGGCGTTGACCCTGAGCGCGCGCTGCTTCCGACACCCGAGAGCCATCGGTTCACCCGAGCGGACGGGCCATTCCTGACACAAGAATAAATACAAACTATAACTTGTGGTTCTGCGTTGGCAGCGGTGGCAAGCGGCCACACATCGCCACGTGCCCATGACAGACGTGCCGAGATTGGGCTCTATATTGTGTGTGCTCTCTCTCGTATCGGTCACTCGACTTCCACCCCGGCACAGCCAATCAGTGAGTTTTGTCACTTGGAACAAAACGTGCCAATTTGTGGCTACTTCAGCACCGCCGGTGGTGTTGGACAGTAAGCCCACGAAAAAAACATTTGCCATTTTGAGTTAACGACGTTTCGCTGGTGACTACAACAAAAAAAACCCAGCATCACCAGGCGATTGCCAGAAATGTGAAGACGTCTTCCCGTTTCTCGTCTTAAATAGAGTAAGGTGATGTCATCACGTTTACACGATAAAACGCAAACACACTTTATTGTGAATTGATATTGGGAGCGAGAGACTCCCTCTCAAAACGGATCGGTGACCGTGAGCGATCTTGAAATCTGCAAGCCGGGCAAAAAGCCCCCCCCACCCTCGACTGTGTTGACGACCGCGTGTATGGGGGTAGAGGGGGGTGAGGGGGGTGAGAGAGGGCGCGCGTGCTCCACTTTGTAAGTCACTCCACCTCCATGCTCAACCCTCTCACCGACTCTCTCTACACGGTGGCACTCAGTGGCGACGTGCCCCCCCCACCGCCCCCTGCCCCCCCAACCGCCCCCTGCCCCCCCCCCCCCCACCGCCCCCTGCCCCCCCCCCCGCCTCCCCCGACTATGTTCGCGCGCGACAGATGCGCGCACGTACAAGTGTCCCCCTGGGCCTCATCGGCCGTGGACAATGTGTTCCAGCCATGGCCTCGGCGGTCTCCAACCCCCTGCCTCGCCAGCGAATGTCTGCCTCGTCGACGCCCATGACGCCACGTCCGAGACGGCTTCACGGCTGCCAGAGGCGTCCGTCAAGGTGTCAAGTTAAGCGCGGCGTTGACGGCTCCACACACACACACACACATAGACACACACACAGACACACAGACGCACACACAGACACACACACAGACACACACACAGACACACACACAGACACACACACACAGACACACACACAGACACACACACACACTCCCTTTGCCCTCGCTTCCTTTCATTCCTCCTCCGCCAGGTCCTCCAAGATGTTGCCTTGAGAGTCTCCCACCGGCTCCTCCTGGGTGTCCCGACGTCTTCCCCTTGGTCGCGAGGCTGGTGGCTGTGGTGGTTACAATCTTAAAACTTTCGCTTACTGCAGGAATTCATATGCTTTGGTTCTTTCGGTAAAGTCATGTAAATAGAAAATAATAATAAAGTGAATCAAATAATAATAAACAACAAAGGTTGTGCATTTTTCAGCTGAATGATTTATGCAGGCAACAAAGGTTGTTTATTATTTTATTTTTAATAATCTTTTAAAAATGTATTCACTTGATTTTTTATTATTTTTTCTAACTACATGACTTTACCGAACGAACCAAATAATATAATCGTTTTTTTATTGCTATTTATTTGATAAAAATATATCGAGTTTGAAATAAAGTAATATAGGGCTCTCTTTATGAATCTTTATGATTTCGGGACTGATCCCCTCCCCCCCCCCCCCACATTGGAAGTTTCTAGATCTGCCTCGGACTCATGTGAGTGGTGATGGGGGGGGGGAAGGAGTTGACCTCATGTTTAAACATCGCATCCACCACCCCCTCTGCTTCTGCTCATCTCCCTAGAGCTCACTCACATCTGCCCCGTTTCAAAACATACATAAAACAGCTCATGAATACCCAACCGATCCGGATGGGGTTTAAAAAAAAATCTCTTATCGTGAATTTTTCAGCTGAATGATTTATGCAGGCGACTCTGCCGCCGCTCTGTGCGACAGACGCCCGGCCGAGCGAGTGTCAGCGGGAGGAGGATAACGGGGACTTTTAACCCGAGCGTCAACAGCAAAACAACGCAGCAAACACACGGAAAGTTGGCTCAGAGGGCACAAAGGCCACGTGTAGCCTTGAGCAGACTCTTGGGGCAAGTGCCGTTAGCGAGTAGCAAGCACCTATTGAAGGCCGGCCGCTACGCGCGGAGGGGATGGGTGGCCGTGGCCGTGGCCGCCGCCGCCGCCGCCGCCACCACCACCACGTCCGGCCGCCTTCGCCTATTCCGCACCGCACCAAGTACTCACTTGAGTCGACCCAGGGGGGACGCCCAGCAACGGTTCAGGTAATCGTCACTGGTGTTGTCCGTGAGCGGGAATCGAGCTCGGGTCGCCGGGTCCGCAGAGCAGCGTAGCGCGCTGACCACTGCGACACCGCTCCCCCACACTCGCGGCAGGGCGTGGTGCTGGCCACCCACCCCCTCGTGTGCCGGTGCCGGCCTCCATAGGTGCTGCTACTCGCTAACGGCGCTTCCCCCCAGCCCAAAGCGCGCGCACACACGCGCGCACACAAACTCCAACAACAGGATGAGCCAGTAAGTTTCGGTGACGTCACCACGGCGCTTGTGCCAGGCAAAGTGCACTTTGATTCCACGTGAAATGTCGAAGGCTCGCTGGCACGAGGTCACAGGACAGGCCCAGGTGCTACGGGTTGACCGAGATGACCGGCGTATATAAATAAATATGCGCACAAAGTTTCACCCACGTAAACTTTTCCAGACAGTTGGGGAAAGCGCTGTTAGCGAGCACCTATTAACGCCGGCACAGCACAAGAGGGGGGGGGGGGCGCTGTGGCCAGCACCACGCCCAGCCGCCTTTGTTTCCCCAGTACAGATGTTTAAGCACCGTAGCAGATACTTTTTTCTAAGGCCGAGTCGATCTAGGAGAGGTCCAGATCCGGTTCAAGTATTCGCCACTATTATTATTATTGCAGTTATTCGTGAGCAGCAATCAAACTCGGGTCGCCGGGTTCATAGAGTAGCGCGCAAACCGCCACGTGCACACACGCGGACGCACAAACACACGCACGCGGTGTCATTTTACGGACCCCGCACAGCCGTCACCGACTGTAATGGCCTCTGACTGTAACGTGCATATCCCACGTGCTGTGCGGGGGGACATCGAGGCCGCGTCTAGGACAGGGGTCAGCAAACCACAAGAACAACAAGAGCAGCTAATGCGTTGTTGGTGAATAGGGGACGGTGGCTCCTTAATAAATAAGGGTCACGAAGCAGTCACTTAACGAGCCGCACGCGGTTCCGGATCCGCAGGTTGCCGATCCCTGCTCACGACAAACTGGACTACCATGGTGAACTGGACTACCATGGTGAACTGGACTACCATGGTGAACTGGACTACCATGGTGAACTGGACTACCATGGTGAACTGGACGTCCATGGTGAACTGGACTACCATGGTGAACTGGACTACCATGGTGAACTGGACGTCCATGGTGAACTGGACATCCATGGTGAACTGGACTACCATGGTGAACTGGACTACCATGGTAAGAGATCGGCAACCAAAATAACACATTTTTTTTCGAATGCCGAGAGCCGCACTGCAGCCCTTAAAGAGCCGCACGCGGCTCCGCCGCTGCAGGTTGCCGACCGCCTGGCCGAGGAGGACCATTCACTCCGGCCTGGGGCGAATGGGTGGTAGGGGGGGTGGGGGCGGTGGGGGCGGAGGCAGCGGGAGGTGGGGGCGGTCACTCTGGGAAGGGCAGCGGTCAGCGGCAACGACGTCAGCGGCACGGCGGGCCTCGTCACGAGCGGCCGAGTCGCCGCCGGCGCTCGTCTCGCGATCGCCGCCGCGGCCGTTGTGCTCCTCCGGAGGCGCCATCGTCACTCGCAGGGTGTCCGTCAGCAGGCTCAGCGAGCCCACGGCGTCTTGCGCCAGGGGGTTCGCGGTGACGATCAGCGTCGCGAGGGAGGGCATGGCCGCGAGCTTCTCCGCGGGGAGCTCTGCGGGAGAGAGATTGGACGGACGTCTTCAGGGGGAGGTTTTCCGACACAGTGCCGGGAGACGTAACGTCGGATCGCCAACAGAACCAGAATATTCATGCGTTGGTCGAACTGCTTTCGTAGCGTGCGTAGCAAACCGCGCTAATCGGAGGTGCGAGGGAAGGACAACAAACTAAACACAAAAAGCATTTTTTAAAGAATTTCGTTTTCAATCGAGATGATTTAAAGCTGCATAGCGCCAGTGGCTTCCTAACATCGTAAGGAAGAGCGTTCCAGACGGCCGCGTAAACACATCCGAAAGTGCGCGATGCAGTGAACGTCTTCATACTGGAGGAATCCGATAAGCTACAAAGCTCTTTTTCGCAGATGTCCAGGAGGGGCGGGTCAGAACGTTACAACAACAAACAGTACAAAATCATGATAAAAGTGCAAAGTATATGAAAGGTAAAGAAATCGCTTAAAAAATACAAATATAAACTATTTTTGGTAATTTTGCCAGGTATAACCCACCGAGCTATTAGTTTTTGTTTGTCCAGAAGCCACCTGGCCATCACAAATGATCGCTCAATCGAGGTGGCTCGACACATCGCGCGGAAATCCACAGCGGCAAAATGAATCTCGCCCTAAATCACGTTTACAGCGAGCGGCTGCGGGCGGACGGACGCGGAGGGACACGCGGAGGGAGTGCGCGCTGCCAAGCCGCGGGGCCACCAAGCCACAGTGCCACCCCTCGACACGTGGCTTCTCCAACCCCCACCTCCCCCCCTCCTGCGTGGCGTCGAAATACAATCAGCGGAGCCTGTAACTGTGTGGTGGGCCCACATTGACGCGGCGGCGATGGATAACGATGGCCCCGGGCGCACGCATTCTCACACCGTTAATGGCCGGCTGGTGTCCCTAAAGTCCCAAACTAGTTTATTGGTCTGCATTAAAAAAGAGAGATGCGTGGGGGGTACGGAGAGGTGGCGAGGGCTTGTGGGAGGCCTTCATCTAGCAGTAAATCGACAAAAGGGCTGATGATGACAATGTCGTAAATAACTGACACACAAAGACAATCCGATGGTATATAATGGTATACAGTATATAAAATGGTATACAGTATATAAAATGGTATATATAAAATGGTATATATAGAATTAATGGTATATATAAAATATTTATGGACACCCTGTATATAAAACAACGGCTGCTAACTCACAACAAAAAGGCACTCATCCAAACGTAGCTCCACCCCACCCACCCCTCGCTAAACGAGTCCTGCAGGCAACAACAACAACCACCTGGCATTTGCCCGTGAAAGTAATTCATTGGGGCAGCAGAAGTATTTCACTTGCAAACAAATGTAATCAAGATTTACCGCTCACAGCGCGATAACGCGCACAACGCAATGCCAGATTAGCACCGCACGCACGCGCTTTGGGAAGCGAGAGGGTTGTCGCTCAACGCGTTGCTACGGCGAACCCGGCGACCCGAGTTCCGTTCCCACTCACGACCGATAACAGTGAGGAACGTTCGAACCGGTTACTGGACCTCCCTTAGGTCGGCTCAGCCATAAACGAGCACCCGGTGCGGTGCGTAAACAACGGTCCTGGGGATAGACAAAAGTCGGCCGCCCACCCCCCTCGTATGCCCTGCCGGCCTTGATAGGTGCTCATTAAACGGCACTTGCCCCAACAGCCTGCCGAAGGTTATACGGGCGTGGGGGATCTTTTGCCTCTGTGGGCGTGCGCACATCACAACGGGTGCACGCGAACCGCTGATGTAAACACGTTTCTGGCAGGGCCGTGTTTATAATTTAATTTGTCACGGAGCTTATTTATTAACGGTGTCAGTTTGTGTCACGCGGCAGCGACAAAGCCATAAACTCCCATAATCCACGGCGGCAGCTGGCCAGTCAGCACAATCGCTCCGCCATGCGGCAATTCAATTTGAGGTTGCGACGATATTTGACTTCTGCGTCCTCGGTCACAGAAGGAAGACTCCGAATTTTCCACTCACGTCGAGATGGAGGAGATCAACTCGCGATCATTTAGGACGGGAGCGGCACGAGCGTTGATGCACCAGGCAGGATGCGGTGGTCCTGTGTGGGGATGATGGTCTTCTGTTGTGATGACGTTTGTTGTTGTTGGTGGTGCCTCTTGTTTACGTGCCATTTCTTGATGTTTATTAAGTTTTCGTTTTCTGAGTGATTTTCACTTGCTTGGTAGTTCAGAATCAGAATATGCACTTATACTGGAGGAATCCGATGAGCTATAAAGCTCTTTTTCATAAATATCCAGTAGGGGTGGGTCAGAACGTTACAACAAACAATACAAATATATGATAGGAGTGCAACGTATAGGAAAGGTAGACAAATCACTTACAAATATACAGATGAAACTAATATATATTTTGTATTACCAGGTAAGACCCACTGAGGTATTAACTTGTTTTTCAGAAGTGGCCTGGCCACAAAAGATAGCTCAACAAAGTGGCTTATCGTGTGGAAAGTTATCGCAGCAACATAATAAAAAATAATCTCAATGTATGATTTTAAATGTGCTTATACATACGTCCCCCGCACCAACGGTGCGAAAGAACTTCAACATACACACATACACAAAGACCCGCAGACGCCAACATCCATAGAGACACACATAGAGACCCACAGAGACCCACAGATTGGCTACCTACAGTGCGAGAGAACTTCAACATACACACATACACAAAGACCCGCAGGCACCAACATCACACAGAGACCCACAGATTAGCAAGGTTGGCTATCTACAGTGCGAGAGAACTTCAACATACGCACATACAACCGCACGGCAAGTCACAACGACTCACTCACTCACCCACCCACCTACTCACCTGCTCGCCACACTGCAGGTCACCTCCCTTCTCCTTCTTTCCTCGCCCAGCCCCCAACCTTGGAATTCCCGTTTCCCATCGTCTACCTCTCCCAGGCCCTTGTAATAATAATAATAATCTCGCTCAATTCAAGAAAAACGCATTACGCTCTCATCTGCGGTGTTTACAACGTTCACGGGTGCTGTTTGTTGCCGGCCATTTGGCGTTAGGGGTGCAGGATGGGGGGGGGAGGCTTTCTGGCGCCTGCGCTCAGCCACTGCGTTTAGAACATAATACAAATGATAAGGAGTCACTTGGAGGAAGGGAAATGGAGCGAACGGCGTATCGACGAGTTGTGCGCCCAGCGCACGTTTCGCTCCGTGCCGCCAAATCTCGCACGCGACCTTTCGCGATGACGAACGACCCCCTCGCTTCTGTTCGCGGCTACAATGCGACCATTTGAATAATCCTTCCGCGCGAAACTTTCTCGCTCGGACCGCGCGGACGGGTCGAGGCGGCCGCGGCGGCGGCTGCGGTGACGAGCCAAAAAAAAAAGGGTTTTTTTTCACATCAGAGCAGCCGCAATCCCCGTCATCGCGACGCGGTGACTACAGAGGCACAGGCGCCAGCCCCTGCAATTGCCCGCTCGCGCCACTGCTTGGCCTGAAGGGCCTCCATTAGAGGCCCGCTCTTGGGAGCCCCCTATAGCGACCAATGTTTTGGACGACTCTCCCACGCTGGACAGCGGCTGATTCTGGATGGGTGAGTGGGGGAGCCCCGGATGGGGGTGAACAACTCCCCCCATCCCCGCTCCCACCACACCCCCGCTTTAAGACCCCAAAACTAGTATTTTAAGGCCCTATTTTATATGCCTGAAATTCCAGGACCGTTCCCCACCCTCGTAAAGTTTGGGGATGCGCCTCGGCTTGGATTGCTGTCTCTTTACTTTTCATTTTCTTATTTCTTTACTTTGACTTATGACTTTACCTTTCTTATGCTATTCATTGCACGCAGTTGCAATTGACTCTGCTCAGTCGGTGTTGGCCGCTGAGGTCGTGACGGGTTTCTGTTTTTGTTTCCTGTTGCCCCCAGTACCGTTCGCGTACCCCTCCAATGTGCACCGACGCCCACTTTGTTGAGGGCGACATTGGCACGCGGAATAAAGATAGACTGATTGACTGGGTAGACGTTGTGAGTAGCCACACTGAACCTCGCCACACGCTATATGCCGATCGACTGACCGTTGCGTACTCCATGCAAGCTGCTGGGTGGACAGGGGCGGTGTGGGGAGAAGGGGCGGGGGATTTTGAGAAAGTTGACCGTTACGCCATGCGGCGGCGTCCCACCGCGTGGCGGACGGGAGTTTTTTTTTTTTCCCGATGGTGGACCAAAACACAATCGCAGCGGCTGAAATAGTTCTAATGGCATTATACATACTGCATGAGGCTCAGAGCGATTCCTTGAAGTGTTTGTTCTGCGGGGGTTCCCGGTTAATTACGGCCTCTTCCAACATGCACGCTGGAATGAGCTGCAGAATTAATCTCTCTCTCTCTCTCTGCCCTATCCATATCTAACATAGCGGCCTGTCAAAGTGCACGATACACAGCATCGCGCACCACGTCACACACTGCTCCACCGCACCACCACACAACATCACTCACTATCACACTGCACCGCCACACTCACACACTGCACCGCCACACTCACACACTGCACCGCCACACACCAGCACACTGCACTACACACCGCTCCACCACACACCCACACGCCAAACCCACCACACCATCACACACCATCCCACTGTGCCACACCGCCACACTCGCAACCACAAAACCGCCCCGCCACACCACCACGCACCATCCCGCCGCGCCGTCAAATCAACTCGTTCGCGCAATTCGCCATTCGGGCCATGATCACGGCGCCAAGGCCATCACGAAGGGGTCCGTGATGGCGCAGACGGCCGTCTGCATCCCACTCGCCGAGCCACCCACGCGCGCACCATGTGGGAAAGTACATCACGGTGCTGCTGCTGCTGCCGCTGCCGCCGCCGCCAATGACTTCAATTCCCCCCCCCCGCCCCAACGGACCCAACTACGTAAATCTCCACTCCCGATCGCACAGCACGCAGCCTCGCAGATCCTCCGCCCCGGATCTGTCGCTCCGCGTGATTG